GGACATTTGATAAACACCTCGAAAAGGAAAAAATGATCATCTCTAAGGAGCCAAACCTTAACTGGTTAGAGACAACATGCAAGGCCAGGAGTCCACATCAATTAAAATCCTTGAGAAATGCATATTTGAAATTCAGGAATGTAGCAGCTATGAGGCATCTATAATATCTTGATAAACCATCTAAAGCAAAATTTTGAGTAGCAGGTTTTATAATTTCTGAAATAAATATTTTTTCTAAAAATTCAGGAAATCTGACTCCTAAAAATTATCAGCCATTTATTCATTATATACCTGGGTTAGAGGTGGGGGAGGCCAGCTGAGGGGCTACCTTTTTCTTCTGCACACCTCCTCTGTGACTGCCTCCCATCACACTTCACCACCTCCACCACAGGACCCCTCACATCTCATGATGCATCCATACACTGGATTGAGTATTCAAAGTGAACAGGAGAACCTGAGAGGTGTTCTGGAACTCTACCCAATACAATATTTACCTGAAAGAATAAAATATATAATGTCATATTATACCATTTGTAAATATTTATATTTGGACAACATGAGAATAGCTGTACAATAATGTCATTCATCACTAGAGCACAGGCTTGGGCATCAAAAATGCCTGGATTAATAGCTTAGGTCCATTAGTTAGTAATTACATCTTCCTTAGTTTCTTCAGATTTAAGAGACCAGTATTCATGATCTTTAGGATGACACATGTTTCTTAAGAGCTGAGGATATAATATTTCCAAAGTGCCCAATGTAATGCCAAGAATGTTATTAGTTGCCAACAAATGGCGATGGTGATGATGACATCATTGATGATAGAGTATTTGAGTATGTCACATCTATGTTCTCAATATCTTATAGAAGCTTGATTATGAAACAGATATGTATTTATATGCATGTGTGTATCTAGTGTGTGTATCATAAATATAACCATCAGTATTTAATTTTAAATTAAATTTGGCAGAATAACCTTCAAATCACTGTTTAAATTCTCATTCTTTCATACTTGGTTTCTCAGCAACAGCCTCTTATTTCTCAAAGAGCCTACATTGTCTTGGAATTGGGCAGAGAAAAGTAGGGGTGGGGCTATCCATGCAGGCTGACCCATGTCAGAAGAACTGTCACTTCCAGATGTCTCCAGGGAGTCTAGTCCCAGCTTTCCTAACAGTTAATGATAGGACCCTGGGCAAGTGACAACTTGTCTCAGCTTAGCTTCTTCATTTGTAAAATGAGCTCATTGACAAAGACTCCCTTCTAAAGCTCTTTTCCATTCTACAAGGGCTGTGATTAGCACTTGTCACTCTAGGCAGCATCTTACTGCCTTGACTAATAAGGTCATGTGTGTTCCAAGCCTGTAAATGAATCATATTGCATAGGTGTTACAGTTCTTTATTGGTGATTTTCAGATCAGTTTGTGTGAGTGCTAAGAATGAACAGAAATCATCTCCCTAAAAATGTGCTGGGTAATAAACTTGTGTTTTAAGCCACACACTCATTAACAAGTTTTTCCTATGAGTTCAGTAACTATTTCTCCAGGCACATTGGCCTACCTTAGTAGATACCGCACCAGTTAATCCTGACATCAGTGGCATCATTACCCTCACCCTGTTATCATCATCAGCAATAACAATCATCTCATGTGACCTTTTTGGACATGGAGAAATTATGTTGCTTTCCCTATAAGAATAAATATCAGGAGAAAAAATAGTTCTTTAAATAATTTGTTTTTTATCTTAGTATTTGTGTATTTATTTAGTTATTTTTTGCTAAGAGTACTAGAAAGTGAATCATTTTTTCCTTCTACTTCAGTTGCATTTAATGAATTTTATTATATAATTTGTACAGATTTTATTAAGCTTTTGTAATTCACTTCTCTTCCAGAATCATCTTTCTAGGTTGCATAAACATTGTCTCAATTGACACTAAGAAATTTTTTTAAAGCCACTTAGTGGACTTTAACTCTTTTCATAATCCAGATCTCCTCCAAGGGCTTGACTGCCTCAGATTCTTTAGAAATGCTCACTATAACTGACCTGTAAACCCCATAGATAAATGTCCTGTATAGATAGCACAATTAAATTAAAAGTTGGAGGCCCAGTTCCTTCATCTTGTAATGCTGGTAGCTGGATCACAGTATTTACATTTATATTTTAATCCTTTAATCTATGAATCAATGTAGACCTGAGACAGTAAATTAACAGTTTGCCAAAATTATGCCTGGGCAGTGTTGATCCAGGTTTCGGTGTCCCACTACTGGAAGTCTTGGGTGGGGAGCAGGACAGTCATAGAAGAGTCCGGATATCACACTTACCTCGGCTCTCACCTGAAGGAACTGGGTCTCTTTTTCTTTAACCACTGTATACTTTACAAGTGAGTCTTATTTTCCTCCACAACATCCATGATCACAACAAATAATATTTCTGGTTAACTACTCGGGTCTTTACAAGTATACCTGCTTTTTGTCAATAATGTCAGTAATGCAATCCTGTATTTCTTCACAAGATTTTTCCTTCTGTCTTTTAAAATTTTACCTTGTTCACTTGTTGCTATGAATATTTTGGAGCTCTTAAGGAAATTTTGCACTTTATTCTTTTTTTGAGAAAAATTATGGAAGCATCTTATGTTTTTCTGTATGATAAAACCTGCAGGACCTTGTCACGCAGATGGCCACACAACACAAAGGTCATCAAATACAGCACAACCCATCATTTCATTCCACCAGTTACAGCGCAAGTAGCAGTAAGGTTCCTGGTGGCACCAGATGCAGAGCTGAAGCACAATGCTGTTCGGAATTTTTGTGCTCCTCAGCTAAGAGCACACTGGTCATATATTTGCCTTCTCGTTTGTGTTCTTCTCTACCTCTTGTCCACTGACCAACTCAAAGCGCTGTTCTTTCTCTTTATCCTGTTCATTTTGTATCTTGTAGATTGTGCTTTCTCCAAGTACCATTTGATAGTTACTCTTAGAGCTTCCACGTTGTCGGCTGAGCAAAGGATAATTTTATCATCCAGGCCATCCATTCCCCCTCATCCCTCTGTAATGGTAATGAATAACACAGTGGCCCTATTTTATTTCATTGTCATATTTAATACACATGGGTCTCTGGGTTCTCAGTAATTCATAACCCTGCTCAAAATCTGACTTCCTGGGTTACCTAAGTTTATTTTCCACTCTTCCCCAGGATGCCACCTCCACCTCACTAACGCAGGTCTGCTCTTTGTTTACCCTGAATATTCAACGTTCATTTCTACTTCTACTGTTTTCCCTGCTCAAGATCTTTGTTCTTTATTAAAAATCTATACCCCTGCCAGCTTCATCCTCCTTGCAGCCATTCAGCTGCAGCATCCCATGCACTTCAGTCTCCTTTGTACCTCCCAGTACTTCAATCAGGCTTTGTAATCTAGAACTCATTAAATAGATTGTTCCAACTGGGCATGAAGCTCTCTACAGCCAACTCTGAAGATGCCTCAGTAACATCTACAGCCCCACATACAGTGCCACAGCACACACTTTTTGATTGGATCATATCAGGACCACTTTATAGTATAACTCAATCTTCCACAACTTCAAAATATAAAAACCAGCTTCTTCAAGTAATATCTCCAGTTTTTTCCAAATAAAAAACTAACATAAAATTTAGTGTTCAAAATATAGTAATCTCCATTATTCAAATACCCAGAGAATATTGTTAATATCTTGATATTTGTCCCATCCCTTACAAATTTATAGAAAACCATTTATCTCTTTAATTATCAGAAAATGTGTATATCTATTTTTCTTTTTAGTAGAAAATAAGAACTTTTTAATGACATAAAGCCTTCAAAAGCATGATCAGATACTTGTGTAATCTTCTAATTATCCCCACATTATTAGACAATTAAATTCAATCCAATATTCTTTTATTTTAATATTGAGCAATACTGTTATAAACATAAATTCCATAAATTTGTGTTCTGGATTATTTCATTAGAACAGATTCCTAAAGTGAATTTGCCAAATCAAAGGTCAGGAATTAATTGAAATCATTTGATTGATATTGCTAATTTGGAAAGGTTAAAGTGCCCTTTGCTTCTTTTCATCTCATTATTCACTCTCTTATTAAATTCATTCATTTTATAAAGAATTGTGGAGTTAGAGTGGCTGCTTGTTGCTCACTGAAGAGACCCAGAACTTGACATCTGAAGCAGTCCAGGAGTTCTGGGTGTGGTTAGGGGAAAATCCCTCCTCTACTAGGGTAGCAGGTTGTCTGTCATTCTCAGTGCTGAGCTTCTGCCGACGGCATTGCTAACCAGATACCAGCTGAAAGAGCACCTAGTTTTTCATATGATTTTCTTATAGGCTATGTGCCATTGTGTTTCACTCATTTAAAATTAGGTGGTTTTCTCAACTTCATTCAAGTGGCTTCCCAGAACCCAGAACTTCCTATCACAGGTTCATTCCTTCTTTCACCTGGAACAATTCTATTGAGCCCTAATAAAAGGCCACTGGGGGCCGGGAATTTAGCTCAGTGGTTTCGCTGCCAGCTGTGGAAGCACAAGGACCCGAGTTCGATCCCCAGTAGCAAAAAAAAAAAAAAAAAAAAAGCTAAAAGGCCACTGGAAAGAATTTGACTTTCGAGGACAAAATATAAAACAATATAAATATAAAACATTTGCCATTTTACCAGAACCACTGCGACATACTTGAGAATCCCTCAGACCTACTTTTCCTTTTCATGAAGACAGGAAGGGTAGCATTTGGAATAACACTTTTTCTATTTGTATATTTTGAATTTATTGGACTTGAGATATGAAAAGAAAGTTAAATTTTTTCATTGAAGTCATTATCACAGTGTAATTCTTATTCTTTATACTTTCAAATAATCAGCTTATTTTTTCAGTTTATCTCAGTTGAATGATAGAAGGACCTCAACCATTTTACTTACTCTGTGAAAGTATTTCTTCTGAAATATTCTGAATTTTTACCTCAAATGCCAATTTGCAACTTCTTCACAGGCAGCAGAAGTCAGAATGCAAGGCAAATAAGTCAACATGAATAGGGAACTAACAGGTGAGTTTTTTTCTGGTCCTAATGTAGACAATTTTATATCTTCCATCCTGGTTTCACATTTTTGGCATCACAGAAAAACACATTTGAAGGTGAGGGATATTTGCCCTAGTTTGCAAAGTAGCATAAAATTCTGATACTTTTTATAAAGCTGTGATAGTTTTCTTCACACTTACCTTCTCTATGCCATTCCTCCCAGAGACTGTCCAGAAAACAACCCAAAAACAATGCAAGTTCCCTTCTTCAATGTTGACCACACACCGCTTCTGACTTGGCTTCCACCACAACAGTGCCGTGGGGAGTGTGAATACAAAGTTCAGGGTAGAGCAAACAGGACTAGCTGTACAGTGCCCATAAGAGTGGTCCTGGTTATTAGAATGTGAGTTTCTCAGAAATGGTGAACTTGCCTGAACTTGATCCTTCTTTGAAAGAATCTTAACTCAATTATATGGGCTGAGAAACTAATAAAGGTAATAATTCTAAGGATCACGTGAGGAGGTAGGCGACTACAATAGCTAAGGGATCTGATTCACTTGACTGTTTGGGGACCTAGGTATAAATATGGTTTTAAAAGCTCCATGTGTACTTTAATGTGAAGGTAGAGTGGATATACATTGAATTGGAATTTTTCCACAGTGGTAACTTCTTTTCAAGCACCAAGCAACAGTGAGATTTTGGGTGGAGTGTCCATTTGTAACAGAATGTCAAAAATCATGCTACAGAGTAGTGATTTGTATGTTGCATTTAGGGAGAGGACAAGAGAGAATCAGAGGCTCTTCAAGATGATTAACTTCTGGACAGTTGGTCAGTCTCACTAGGCAGAAGTAAAGTTCTCAGGAGAGAGCCAAGATCGCAGTGCTGCAAGGGGATTTGACTAATGGTGTCAGGCAGGGTGACATGTGTGATGTATACATAAGGCTTCCTGAGGCACAGCAGACCCTAGCGTTCCCCAGTAGAGGAGGAGAGACTCAGGTGAATAGGGTCATCATAGCCCTCATCCCGGTCAGAGTGGCTAAGGTATATCTGTAAAGGAAACTTTTTCAGGAAGGTATATTGGAGACTTCAGCTTAATGAAGATAAGAATATTTAGACTTGAAGTTCTGTCACGTCTACATAATCGCACTCTACTGCAGTGACATTATTTGATTTCAGGTATGAAACCGAACAACCTGAAAATTCACAAAAGAATATAGAATATCATAGAGTGTGGAACTGTCCTAGATCCTACTACATGACCCACTCATCTGGCAGTCTAAGCTAAATTACAGCCATGAGTTCTGTTTTGTAGATGCTCCTGCATATGTCTGGGTGCCATGAAATATGAACTTGGATACTCACATGATCCCTAGCCAGATCACTTTTGGAACTGTTCCTCTGTTCAGCTTCCCAGCAGCCAAGAACTAAGCAGCTTTGCTCCCTCTGAACTTTGTCCATGATGTCTCTGCCTTGGAGCCAGCTGATCGTGGACTAAAACCATGAGCAAATAAATGTTCTCCTCTTTTAAATTGTGGGTTTTTGGTATTGCATCTCAGAGATCAGAAAGCCAATACAGAAAATTGGTAACCAAAAAAGTGATATTGTCACCGTAAATATACCTAACCAAGTGTTTTAGAAGCCTTTGGAACTAGTTTGCTGGAGGAGTTTAGAAAGGTTTGAAGATCCAATTTAAAGAACCCTTAGCATTCAGTAAGCAGAGCCTGATGGGTAATTCTGGTCAGAGTTCAGAAGACCAGAATGCTGATAGAAATGTGAACAGTAAGGGTCAGGCTCAAGGGGCTTCCATTAGGAACAAGGACACCATTGGCATTTGGACCAGCAACCAGAGATGTCACATTCTGGGGGAAAATTTGTGTCATTTTGCCCATGTCCTGAGACTTTGCTGGATACTAAGTTTAAGGAGGAGGACTAATCAATCTGGAAGAGAAAATGTAATGATATCCCAGTCTTCAGACACTGGCCTGGTTCTGCTGGCTCTTTTTAGGCAGATTTATAGTGAGAATCAGAGGAAAAAAGCAGAAATTTTTGAAAAACTTAAATTTCAGCCCAGAAGGAAACATGTAGAGTTGGGCCCAAGAGTTGTTTTTGCTAAAGACATAGTGCCATTAGAAAGAAATCAAGTATTTTATGCAGGGATAAGAAGAAAGATGAAATGATGGTAGCTCAGAAATCAAGGCCTAATGCATTACAGGTTCAACAATGCAGACATGTCAACCTTTTATTTGAGAAGACAGTCCTGGGTCATGCGCTCAAGCATGGCCTCCTCAGGAATTCCTACTCTTCCTAGGACTCATTTTAATGATCAGCTATAGGAGCACTCAGCACTGCAGTAGCAATGGTCTGAGGTGGCCTGGCTACAGCCTCCACTAACAGCAGACCTTAGCATCATTCACCTGGTGCTGCTTTTACCAGCATGCAGAATATAAGAGTACAGAGTTCCGGAGGCTTCCATCCAGATTTCCAAGAAAGGCCTAGAGATAAACCACAGGAATGAAGCCAATGGTGGTGCAGTGGAGGCCCCAGGAAGTTGTAGAAGCCAGTGACATGGAATATCTGTCTGGTAAAGCTGTAGCTGTAAGTGGAGCCAGCCCAAGAGTGGGGCCATGTGGGCTTTAACCAGCAATGCCAGAGGGATGAGGCCACCCCAGCCCTTTGGGACTCACATTTTAGCTCTTTGTGCCCTGTATGCCAGACATGGAGTAACAGGACTTAATGTTTTCCCTGCCAGGATTTGGCTTACCTTCAGTCCACTTCTTTCCTATCCCTCTCTTCCCCTCTTTCAGTATGGGAATTGTTATCCTGTTCCCTTATACCTTAGGATATGTAATTTGTTTTTTATTTTTACAGAGGTTCACAGCTAAAAGTTTACCTGGATTCTCAGAAGAGACTTGGACTTTTGAAAAATGCTGGAACTGTTGAGACTTTGGGGTAGAGATTATTGCATTTCTCACTGTACACAGAATAGTTGCATTATGTCAGGTGCAATCATAAATTTCCTATTGTCTAAAAAGAAGACATTAATTATGGGTTAAGGAGCTGTCTTTAGGTGTCAAGTTGATGAGGGGTGATTTTGATGGATTAAAAAGCACCCAGGAAGCTAGTAAAGCACACTCCTGGATATGTCGGGGTGGGGGGTCACAGAAGCATGGCCTTGGGTAGTGTTATGGCCCCCAAGCAGGTTCTATCCATTCCTCTGCTCTGCTTCCTGGTACCATGAACTAAGACTCTGCTCTGCCATGTCTTTCCTCCATGATGTCTTTGCCTGAGACTGAGCTAATCAGGGGTTTAAACTGTGAGCAAATTAAATCTCTCCTCCTTTAAACTGTGGGTGTTGGGTCTAGGATCTGAGCTATGAGAACACTCACCAATGCACATCCTTCTCCTATGAACACTCCAGAAGAATAACAATAAATAACCATATCAGAGTACCTAGAAAATGAAATTTAAAATCATAAGAAAAGGGGATAAAACATTGGGGAATCAACTGGTTGGAAGGAGTGCATAAAGAGAAATAAGGGAAAATCTGGCTCCAGATTAGCTTTTTTCCCTGACCTTAGGAGACACATCAGATGTGACTTGCTGGTTTAATTGCAAGGTAGAGAGGTTCTTCAATCTACCTGTTTCCTACTATTGTTTTCCGTTGTTGCTTTCTCACTGTCATATTCTTTTGCCTTTTATTTCTCCCCTCTTGCTCCTCTTCTCTGACCTTTCCCTTTTTCATATGTGATTTTCTTCCTTTAATTCACTTCAGAACTTCCTGATCTACAATATTATTAGTTTAAGTTTGTTTGACTTCTTTAATTCAATCAGCGACAGTTTCAGATTTGCACTTCTATTTTTGGAGTTCAGAGGGAGTACTTTCAAATTCCTCCATTGTTCTGTAGAATCATGTCTATCTTATCACATTTCTAATCAAACTTAATCTTAAAATACCTGTCATTTCTCTTAGACTTTGGAAGTTTTTATAGTCTCAGGGATATTTTTGAGTTTTTTATTCATAAAATAAAATCATAATTTGAGAGGATGATTTGACCTATCTTTATGGTTTATTCAGTTAACTATAATTCATAAAAACAACTTTGTATTGTTTACTCTTTTTTTGAAGTTTCTTTTTCTGATAAAGCTGAATTTCATTCATCCCAGACTGGTTTTAAATAATTACAAGAGCCGAGCCTGCCTTCAGATGAATGCAGAAGTGCATATTTATGAGATTCTGGATTATTGCATTTGTACCAACTTGACTAATACAAGAAACCTTGGTAAAATCACACTTGATTATACTACTGCTTCTTTGATTTTCAGATGTGCCATCTCAGGAAGAAAACTGGAGACAACCCCATAACTTGGACTTTCACCACAGTGTTGCTGCCAGTTAAACTCTGACCTGTTACTGTCCCTCCCACAAGTCTTCCTTGACTACATCATTATAAAAGATATTCTCCAATAATTACTCACTAGCCCAGTATCTTGCTGTGTGTTTGTGTGTTTTTTATTTATAATAATAATTATTCCAAACTAGAGTAATGATATTTATTTGTTCTTTCTTCACGGACTGCCTACCTGTCTGCTTGTCTTGTTAGTTATTTTAATACCAAAGTCTGAACAATGTTATGAAAACAGCAAGTATTGACTAAATGCTCATTACATAAAAAAATGACCATCACTTATCTGCCATATGTTTTTATGCCACACTGGGTGCTAAGCTAGTCAAAACCGTTAAGTTATCCCCACCCTTACTGGAACTCTCCGTGTGACCCAGCCTAAATGAACCCACAACTCTTCACATGATTCTTGCTCTTCTGATTCTAGCTTATGCCCTAAATGCCTGCTCTAAAACTGTCTCTTCTCAAGCGAACATAACTGTAAACTGAGGAATCAGTTTTAAGTATTATAGAGTCATACTTGGCACCAAGACACTACACAAACCCAGAATGCTTGTGTAGCAGTCAGGTTCCTATCCTGAATACACATGCAAATCCATTTCTAGAAATAAATACTATTCCTCAGCTGATGTTCCGTCCTGGCCCTGGCTTACTGCTCACACTGAAGCTTTTTAGTCAGCACAAGCCTTTCTCCAGCTTCAACTCAATCTTAACTAAGTCTGATTTATATCAGCAGCTTTGGTCCCTCAGCACTTCCGCTCTGGGTCTGCCTACTGCCCTCATGCTGGCACCTGGTCATGCGCATGTTCACTAAACTGCAGCCGTTCTCTGTGACTTCCAGCCTGTGTTTAAATTATGTATGACCGGATATCCGTCCTGATTACTGATTTATTCTTGAGTTTTCTCAGTTGGAACTAGAGAAGTTCACAAAACCTTAGTCCACTAGCTGATTTAAACCCTGATAATCCCTCCAGCTCTCACAGAACTCCTCTTCAGAAGCAAGATATGCCTACAGCTGCTGGCTCCAAACAAAACCCATGACACCTCGATGATCTGCCAGTCCTGGCACTGCCTGGTACTGCTTATGCTCCATTCCCTCAGAACCCCTGTACAAACATTGGTCTGGGTCACTCCAAGCATACCAGGGACTTCCAACTTTGTGGTTTAGACTGCAAAATTTTAGTCTTCAGAAGTGAGACTGGAAAAAGGAGTGGACCCCGGCTGTTGCCCTACCCGAGGTCCAGTTACATTGTTGCTCATAGAAGCTGCTATGGGGTATGCTGTGAAGCCCTTGAACTATAAATGTGTTCCTTGAAGGAAAATGTACTTCTGGCATTAGGAGCATGTCCTTGCCAATTACACATAGGTCTCTGGGGTTTCAGTAGAAGAGAACTACTACTAAGAAACTCTTAATTCCAACATTTTAAGGCCTTTAATATTTAGATTTCTTACTTGCAAGGCATTAGACACACCCACTTTTGTGTCCTCTCTCTCAGGCTCCTGAGCGCGTCTCCTCTAGTCTCATCAGTGGAACAGGCCCAGGTCCCATCTCTCCCTCAGAGCTCAGTGTGGCTGGATCCAGAAGCTCTTTTATTTTTTCCCCTGTAGCTCTTTCCTAATGTAGCTCTTTGCCCTTCTCTCAGTTTTGTTATTTGTCAGTTGTCATAATCACTTTGTAACTCTTGCTACCTACACATTGGTTTGACCAGGATGAGGGTTCCAGCCATGGGGATACAGTTCTGAGGACAAGTCACTGACCTAAGTTCTTGGATTTGATGTTTGAATATTGCAATCTAGTCAAATCAACTTTAAAAAAATTACTTCTAAGTCTTTATCTAGAAAATTCTAAGATAAATGGCAGTCAACCACAACTACAAAAAGTATGTTCAAACAACTCTGGAAAGTAGACTCAATGAGATCCACTCATATGAATCAGAGAATGAACATCACAGGATACAGATGAAAGAAATATATCCTCCTTCTTTAAAAATTATTAAGGTCACAGGCATATAATATTGTCTAGAATTTGAGACCTTCATAGACACTTAAACTTTATCCATGGGTCCCATGTTAACCACGGCTAAAATAAAGTCCACCATGGGGCATTACCCAGTCTATGCCAAGACTTGAGTGAATAGTGAGTTTTGAATCATTTTCATGTTTTAACTTTAAGGATGACATTTCTTGAAAAGTAGGTTAATACCTAAATGCAGCATTGAGACCCCAGGGAATACTCAAGTGTTTTTCATGTCAAACTTGGATGCCTGGTAGGGTTGCAGAAATCCAGGTCTTAAACCAGATTTATCCAATAAGAATCTTTCTTTTTAACAAGGCCTTAGATCATACGTATATGGAAAAGAACCAAGAAACACCGATCAACCAAGTGTAAAAAAGTACAGAGACATAAATAGTACAGAAACATAAATAGTCTTATTGGAGCTCCACTGAAAATTCATCCTGAATTTTTTCTATTTTGCAAGGTTATATCTATCTTTGAAATGATACCCACCTACTCAAACATTACCTTCCTTGAAGATTTTCATGTACCTCCACTGACTAGAGTCATTTACTCCCATTCCCTTGTTAACTGATTTTATAATATTCTTTATAAAACTTTATCCATATTAAGAGGTTTTCATCTTCTAATCAATCATGTAAGTTGCTCTGTAGATAAAATTTTGAGCACAAACACCAAATACTAGAAGCTCACATTTTTTGCAAACAAAGGATTTTATCTTTAAATATTTAGCAAGAATAATACCAGAATGTCGAAGGCTACCTGTAATACTGCTTCTGTAAAGCATGAGAGTAAGGTGGTCACACACATCCCTACACAGGAACCTGGCTGCGTCCTTCCAGCCTACCTCGAGTCTTGAAATGTGTTTAGTTTTATGATAACTCTCCTACTCATGTCTTACAACTTCACATAGAGAAGACAAAGAATAAGTCTAATGCTGAGGCAGCTTTGCTCAGATTTTCTTTATATATATATTTATTGGTACATTTTAGGTATAAAATACATTTACATTTATCATTGGGTTTGTACCAGAACATGATGTATCTTAGTTCTTATTTTTTCTCCCATTACCTGTGCACCCTT